GTTTATTTATATTGTTTATGCTCACTACTTGTAGCACTTCAGGATTTGAAATCAAATATGAAGTGCTTTATAAATGGAACCCATTATTATTATTATTATTATTATTGTGTACAAGTATACTACTATAAATGGAAATAAATTAATCATTTCCGTTACGTGAATATGAAGGGAAGCGCGATACATTTTTGACCATCATTTTAGACTTCAATCAGCTGTGACTTCAGGTGTTCATGCTGCCGACATACCCGTTTCAGATCCTCGTAGCAGATATCAAGCGAGAGGAGAAGACCTCCATCCGCGGAAACACGGGTACGTCCGGCCGTCTCGGCATAAGCGAACAAGCCGATCCGGCATCAGAACCGAGTCGAGGCCCCTCGATCAGCTGATCCGTGAACATGGAAGTCGCATTACGCACAAGCCGACTGCGTGCAGGCCATGGATGTATAATAAGAAGGTGCAGGCCCTCTACGCCGCATTCAATCCCTCCCAGGAAATTCAACAAGCAGATAAATGACGTTTATCCGTGTTCACAGCACGTTTAGGCATGATCGCCTCCGTGTCTCATCAAATTCGTATCTCGGCACCCCTTTGGGTTGGGGGAGTCCGGATAAAATAATTATATATTTAAAAATGAATAATATAAAAGAAAAAAAAGAATGCACAGGTGCTCCTTCATACTTTCATGCATATAACTGGTGGTGGTGCAAACCGTGCTTGTTTTAATGATCGTACGATCCCCTCTATCTGGTACCTCAATAGCATACCTCAGCTAATGTCTCAGTGCACACGTCAAGCATAAGGAATGGATGCAATATAAACAACTCATGCTCAATGTAGTCTTGCAGCGTATGTCTCTCACAGCAATGAGTCACTCACTCGGCTCACGTTTTAATCATCTGCAGAATACCCTCATTGCATTACTCCTTAATCAGCACTTCTCCAGAGCGGTTTCAGCTAATTGCATCCCTGTCCTGTCATTCTCTGTTTTATAATGATTGCTTATTCTGCCCTTGTGCGTGTAACCACACGTATGCCCTCTCCGACCTGATATCCGCACCGTACTGGCTAATCAAAAACCGTTAAACTCCTACGGTAAGCTATGCATATAACTGGTGGTGGTGGTGTATCACATCCTTCTAAGATAATGTTTTACCACATGCTATGCCTCTCTCACTTATTCCAGCAGACTACCTGAGCGATAAGAAGTCTTGCAATAGCCAGCAGACTGCCTGAGCATCAGAAGTCTCGCAATAGCCAGCAGACTGCCTGAGAGGTCAGAAGTCTCGCAATATTCAGCAGACTGCCTGAGAGGTCAGAAGTCTTGCAATAGCCAGCAGACTGCCTGAGAGATCAGAAGTCTCGCAATAGCCAGCAGACTGCCTGAGAGATCAGAAGTCTTGCAATAGCCAGCAGACTGCCTGAGCCATCAGAAGTCTTGCAATAGCCAGCAGACTGCCTGAGAGATCAGAAGTCTCGCAATAGCCAGCAGACTGCCTGAGAGGTCAGAAGTCTTGCAATAGCCAGCAGACTGCCTGAGAGATCAGAAGTCTTGCAATAGCCAGCAGACTGCCTGAGAGGTCAGAAGTCTCGCAATAGCCAGCAGACTGCCTGAGAGATCAGAAGTCTTGCAATAGCCAGCAGACTGCCTGAGAGATCAGAAGTCTCGCAATAGCCAGCAGACTGCCTGAGAGATCAGAAGTCTCGCAATAGCCAGCAGACTGCCTGAGAGGTCAGAAGTCTCGCAATAGCCAGCAGACTGCCTGAGAGGTCAGAAGTCTCGCATTAGCCAGCAGACTGCCTGAGAGATCAGAAGTCTCGCAATAGCCAGCAGACTGCCTGAGAGGTCAGAAGTCTCGCAATAGCCAGCAAGACTGCCTGAGAGGTCAGAAGTCTCGCAATAGCCAGCAGACTGCCTGAGAGGTCAGAAGTCTCACAATAGCCAGCAGACTGCCTGAGAGATCAGAAGTCTTGCAATAGCCAGCAGACTGCCTGAGAGATCAGAAGTCTCGCAATAGCCAGCAGACTGCCTGAGAGATCAGAAGTCTTGCAATAGCCAGCAGACTGCCTGAGCATCAGAAGTCTTGCTCCATGCAATAGTCAGTATCACAGGGAGCGCAGCTCACCCCATCCTATTTTCCTTCTCTCTCCATGAATGTTATGTTCATTCTTTTATAAATGACCTTGCTATGCCTTCTGCTGGTTCGGGGGATTTCACAATGAGTGGTTGCCCCACCAGCTTGCCATGCCCTTCGTTCAACCAAATGACTCTGGATCTACACGTCAAGCCCCTCAAGGATTTCCCATATTCTGCCTCCAACCAAGAGCATGATTCAAAGCATACAATTCAGCTTGGTACTTTATCTTCTTCTTTCCCAAACTCCTCTGTGTACTTATGCAATAGATATAATAGTTGTTCATGCATTAATTGTATTTTCATTCAAATCCTGCAATCTTCAAGTGCTAAGTATTAAGCCACGCTAGAGTTCATTCATTTGCTACTCAAGGGCCTTAAGAAGGCACGTCCTCCACGCAATGATAAAGACTGCCTCTTAACTTTGCACCCGTGCAAAGGTTAATGTATAAGTTCAGGCAAAGGGGTTTCACTATACATTGATAAACGTCAGATGCAGTTGTTACAGCTTTCTATTGGTTTCTCAGGTGGCGAATATACACAGACCTCTCACCTTTTAATCCTCAGCATAATCTCTCCCTTACTGAATTAACTTTGCAGATCAAATATACACACTTTTTTTAAACATTCAATGTCTGACAGTTCTGTCTGGGGAGTCAAGGAACCCCGAATAATCATTGCTAAAACTAACACTGTTTTCTTTGTCCTTTATCTTCCATGCTGAACTTCTCGCATCATTGCCCTCTGACACATGGGTCGGCACCCATGTTTATTAGATGGCTGCAAACCCAACGACGAGGGTTCTCCTCCAAGCTGCGCGATCTCTGCCTAAGCTGCGATTTGCCCCCAGATCGCTATTCCCACTGTTTAAGAATCTGCACAGCCACAACCGCAGCTCTATATCCACCTACCTCAACCCTGAGTATCCTGGGCCCTCGGTCATCTTCTGCCCACCAGCGCTATATCATGCCTCACATGAATGAGATCCTTTCAGCACAAACAACCATGAGCTCTTGCACTACTCGATGATGAGTAACGTTCAAAGATGTATATCTGTAGAATTCTGTTATTGCATACCAGGTGGTTGCTGGGTTAGATTATAGTATATTCCCCTCATAGCTGCATGCTTGGGGGGGAAAGCTCATTGTTGCTGCCTCAAAGACCTAGACACGGCAGTCTCTCTAGGTAGTATATTCCCCTCAAAGCCGCGGTGCTGGGGGGGGGGGGGGTCGGCACTGATCACTTCCAGGCCTACACATAGCAGTCTCTCTAGGTAGTATATTCCCCTCAAAGCCGCGGTGCTGGGGGGGGGGGGGGGTCGACACTGGTTACTTCCAGGCCTACACATAGCAGTCTCTCTAGGTAGTATATTCCCCTCAAAGCCGCGGTGCTGGGGGGGGGGGGTCGGCACTGGTCACTTCCAGGCCTACACATAGCAGTCTCTCTAGGTAGTATATTCCCCTCAAAGCCGTGGTGCTTAAGGGGGATGGCTTTTCGGGCTGTTCCTGGGCCTTCACATAGCAGTTTCATTAGGTAGCATATATAGGTAGTATATTCCCCTCAAAGCCGCTGTGCTGGGGGAGGATGGCTTTCGGGGTGTTCCCGGGCCTTCACATAGCAGTCACTAGGTAGTATATTCCCCTTAAAGTCGCGGTGCTTAAGGGGGATGGCTTTTCAGGCTGTTCCCGGGCCTTCACATAGCAGTCACTAGGTAGTATATTCCCCTTAAAGTCGCGGTGCTTAAGGGGGATGGCTTTTCAGGCTGTTCCCGGGCCTTCACATAGCAGTCACTAGGTAGTGTATATAAGTAGTATATTCCTCTCAAAGCCGCTGTGCTCGGGGAAGAATCGGCTCTGGGCTATTCCTCAGGCCTACACATAGCAGTCTCACTTAGTAGTATATTCCCCTTAAAGCCGCTGTGCTTAGGGGGAATGGCCACATGGCAGCTCGCCAGGCCCTCTACTTATCAGATTTACATCACCAGCGTCAGGCTCGGGCTACGCAGTTTTGGGGGATAGTATCTAATCTCCACGCAGTTTTGGGGGTTAGTTATTTAATCATCACTCATCGTGCTATGTATATCTATGGAGTGATGAGGCCCGAGCCTAGTCGCCAAACTCAACTATATGCTGCTTCTAATAAACATGTTAAAGAAACACGTGAGTTGTCTGACTGAAATGGGGCGAAGCCTGCGAGCTAGTTCAGGCAGTCAACTCGAGCACTTATGCTGCATTCATACATAACGCCCCTTGCCACTCTACAACCAACCAAACAGAGTCTCCTTTATATGCCGCTCTATTTAACCTGCCAGATCTCTCTCCATGCATTGCTTGCTGCAGCTACCTCTACGTCGCTGCTGCTTGCCTGCCCCACCACCCCCCCAGCTTCCACCCCAGCTTCCACCTGTAGGCTCGGGGGTTAGTTATTTAATCATCACTCATCGTGCTATGTATATCTATGGAGTGATGAGGCCCGAGCCTAGTCGCCAAACTCAACTATATGCTGCTTCTAATAAACATGTTAAAGAAACACGTGAGTTGTCTGACTGAAATGTACTCATGTGGTGTGATCCTTAATACCAAGGAGAGGGTGAAAACTTTTATGTATTTTTTTATGTGTTTTTCTTCCAACAGATACCTGGACAAAGTCATCATCCTGAACTGAATACCAAAGTACATTTCCCTCTGAAAGACATCCTGACACCATCTGCTGGTGAATAAATGACTTACAGTAGCAGCATTTCCTGATTTAGACATTGTTGAACTGGGACGCCATCAGAGGGTGTGAGATCTCTGCTGGAAAACACTCATTTGGAGTGAATAAAGAAGAGAAGTTGGTGAGTCCTGCTCTGTAGAAATAACTTTAATACCAAATGGCTGAGAAAATCGCTCTTGTTGAATGTTATCTGAGCTGCCATGTGTGTTCAGAGACTTTCAGAGATCCTGTGTCTCTGAGCTGTAACCACAGCTTCTGTTCGAGCTGCCTGCAGACATTCTGGGAACAAAGTAAGAACAAAAACTGTCCCATTTGTAAAAGAAAGTCCTCCAAAGATCCTGTGGGGAACTTTGCACTGAAGGAACTGTCTGACACCTTTGCTGAGAGACAGAAAGCTGGATCATCTGAGACAGAGAAAGGAGAGAAGAAGAAGGTGGAGACGGTGTGTAGTAAACATCCAGAAGAGCCTAGATTGTTCTGTAAGGATGAAGAGAGAGCTGTGTGTCCTGTCTGTGATATTTCTCTCCATCAGAGTCACAAGGTGGTTTCTGTAGAACAAGCAGTCAGTGAGCTGAAGGGCCTGCTGAAATCTGACTTAGAGTCTCTGCAGGACAAGAGGGACAAATACAAAGGAGTGGAGAAAACCTACAATAAAGTGATTCAAGGTTCCAAGAAGCAGCTGCTGTCCACAGAGAGGCAGATCAGAGCAGAGTTCATCAAGCTCCATCAGTTCCTGAAAGAGGAAGAGGAGTCCAGACTGGCAGCTCTGAGGGAGGAAGAGGAGCAGAAGGGGAAGACTATCAGCAGAGAGATGAAGAGCATTCAGGAGCACATCTCCTCTCTGTCACACAGTATCTCTGCTGTTGAAGAAGAGCTGCAGAAACACAACGGGCCCTTCCTCAGCAGTTATAAAGCCACTCAGAGCAGAGCCAGAGTCCAGAGCGCACTGTCAGACCCACAGCTGCTCCCAGGAGCGCTGACAGATGTGGCCAAACACCGGGGCAACCTGTCCTTCAGAGTCTGGGAGAAGATGAAGGACCAGGTCCACTTCAGTCCTGTCATTCTGGACCCAAACACTGCATACAGCTGGCTCCATCTGTCTGATGATCTGACCAGTGTGAGACAAGGAGACACATCTCAGCAGCTTCCTGATAATCCAGAGAGATTCACTAAGTTTGCTACTGTTCTGGGCTCTGAGGGCTTCAGCTCAGGGAAACACAGCTGGGAGGTGGAGGTGGGAGATCATCCTGCCTGGAATATAGGTGTGGCTAAAGGGTCAGCTGACAAGAAGGGAGAGAGACCAGATGCCTCACCAAAATATGGAATGTGGTGTTTAATACATCGCAATGGAAAATACTTTAATGGTGCTGTTGAGACTGTGAGAGTGGAGAAGAATCTCCAGAGGATCAGAGTCCAGCTGGACTATGACAGGGGGGAGGTGTCCTTCTATGGCCCTGAAGACATGACTCACATCTACACTCTCAGAGACACTTTCACTGAGAAACTCTTCCCATATTTCAGTATTGGACCAGCTGGTGATGCTAAAACTGCTCATATCAAAATCTGTCAAAGTGAGATTCCTCTGTGATGCTCAGGAGTGTTGGTTCAGACTTTATTCTGACTTCACTGTCTGTCTACATCTCTTTGGAACAATCAAGAAAAAATAATCAACAGATGATAATGAGATATTCATCTTTTATTTGATTAATCTAATGACATGTTTACACATACTCAAAGAGTCAGTCAAAGACAAAAACAAACAGAACAACTTGATTGTTTATTGCTATAGTTTATTTTGTATCATACTTTATTACAGTGTGTTTATAGTTTTCATTTAACTCACAGACACTTTATTAAAATCGGAAAATCATTTAGCCCTGAGGGGTCCCTCAGGGCTCTGTTCTTGGTCCCCTCCTCTTCTCCTTTTACACAAACTCGCTCGGATCAGTCATTAGCCCACATGGTTTTTCATACCACTGCTACGCTGACGACACCCAATTAATTCTGTCCTTTCCCCGCTCAGAGACCCAGGTCATCGCACGCATCTCTGCTTGTCTAGCTGACATCTCTCAGTGGATGTCTTCTCATAACCTCAAGCTCAACCTTGACAAGACTGAACTGCTTTTCCTTCTGGGAAAAGATTGTCCCACTCTTGACCTAACAATCAACATCGCACCTCTGTTGTTTCCCCGACTCAGACTGCAAGGAATCTGGGTGTGATCCTAGATAACAACCTGTCCTTCACTGCAAACATAGCTGCTACAACCCGCTGCTGCAGATACACGTTTTACAACATCAGGAAGATACGTCCCAAGCTGACCCAGAAAGCGATGCAGGTTCTGGTCCAGGCTCTCCTCATCTCACGCCTAGACTACTGCAACTCCCTCCTGGCTGGTCTACCTGCATGTGCCATCCGACCTCTGCAGCTCATCCAGAATGCAGCGGCTCGTCTGGTCTTCAACCTTCCAAAATGTTCCCACACCACGCCGCTCCTCCGCTCCCTCCACTGGCTTCCGGTAACTGCTAGAATCCATTTCAAGACAATGGTACTTGCGTACCATGCTGCGAATGGATCTGGCCCTTCCTACATCCAGGACATGGTTAAACCATACACCCCAGCACGTGCACTCCGCTCTGCATCAACCAAACGGCTCGCTGCACCCTCGCTGCGAAGGGGACCCAAGTTCCCATCAGCAAAAACACGTGGGTTTGCTATCCTGGCTCCAAAATGGTGGAATGAGCTCCCCATTGAAATCAGGACAGCAGATAGCTTGCACATCTTCCGGCGCAGACTGAAAACTCATCTCTTTCGACTCCACTTCGAGCGATAGAACTATTAACAAAGCACTTATATACTAATAAAGGACTGGCTTATCTATAGCCAGTTGAGTAGCACTTGAAATGTTTGGCTCTATGAAACCTGATGTACTTATATGATTCTGTTTTCTTCAAGGTTGTATCTTCCTGGTCGAATGTACTTATTGTAAGTCGCTTTGGATAAAAGCGTCAGCTAAATGCAATGTAATGTAAAATATATTGAGGCATGATTGATGAATATTCACATTTTTAATCCAAACATCTTTAAATGAATGAATTTATTTTTCTGTTATTCTTTGTAATGGATGAAATGAGAATGTTTGATTATGTTTTGTGTGAATTCTTGAAGAAAATATAAGAAGTTTGTATATCGTGCTGAAACTTCATGAAATCAACCAAACTAACAAATCAAAGCTGTCAGTTCTCCTTTTATCAACATCTAGTTTCTAGTCAAACATCATGTTATAGAAGTATAAGTTATCAGTTACATTTTTTATATTTTTGGGTCTTTTGATGAATTATTTTGAGATATGTTGTTGTTTTCAACAAGTCCTCCAACTCATAGGACCAAATAGGTCGATTGTTCAAGCGCTTAGTACGACCTATAATCACGTTTTAAAGTTTTCGACCTCTAGTGCTCCCGTTGACTGCAAACGTTTATTCACAAATAACCCTCTCTGGAAAATCCTAAATTGTAGGATAGTTTGGCCATTAAAATGCTTTTTGATTCGATTTCTAGCGAGAAGTGTATATTGTACTTTTAGAATCCACGTCCAGTTTTACTCAATAATGAGACACAATTATCCTTGTGTTTATTTATTTGTTTGATTAATAAACACAAGTTGGAGTCCGTCAGGACCGAGGGTTGGAGCAGCTCATAGTAGTTGCTTGAGAGAATTTTACACCTGGAAGTAAGTATTCTCTCCGCTTTGCTTGACAAACCCTGTGATAGTCCTCAAGCTCTGTAATTGGATGTTTGAGTGGCAGTGTGCGACACACTCTGGTGGCTACCATAGAAGCTAATTTTTATTCTCCGATTTTTGCATACAAATGGAATTATGGATTATTAATAATTTTTTCAAAGTGGCAGACACATTTGATTAACCTATGGATTAACCTTCAGCCGCGTTTTTTCTCGTTTTAATGCCATTGAACACGACTTTTGATCAGAATAACAGCTAAGGTGAGCATATCTCCGTGTTTTGCTACCTAAAGCTACGTCGTGTGTTGTCTGTATTTGCTTCCCCTGTCACAAGTTCTGATCGCTCAGTGATGATACTTATATTTCTATAATCTGTGGAATCTCAGGATGTTAGCTAAGCTTGTTTGTGCAGATCCAATAAGTATATCGATCGGTATAGCTAGAATTCTGTAATAACGGCATTAATATTTTTCCGCTCAGGGCAGATTCAGAGGCTCAGCGTTAGTCTTGTGTTTTTATTTGCTAAAAATGGTTCATATCATCAGTTCGCTGACTTTCTTCCCGTTACATGGATATGAAACATTCATAGTTTATTAAATATTAAGAAGCCCTCAGACGCTGTTTCCTGCAGATGATGTGTTTTTTCGCCAGGGGGCGGGGGGATTGGGTTCAACAGGTTAAAATAAGTGCTTCAACATAGTTAACATTGCAGGAAAGTTGATTGTCAAGTCCCAAAACAAACTATGCAATATATTAGACGTTATAAGTACTTTGTCGGGCTTAATATTTATCTGTAACCCCAAAGCTTTTTTCTTATTTAAAAGAAGACCTTGACCTAAAGTATTCTTTAATGTTTAAATAAAGCCTAATTAGTTTGTCTGTTTTGCACATCCTCCAATTAATATCTTTCGACATCCGGCACTAAACTGTTTTATTGTAGAGATCACTACAGTATCTTCTTGATATTTTCTATTCTATATTTCTATCATTGACCTTCTACTCCCCCTATGAAAGTGTGTACTCTTAATATTTTTATATTTTCATCAAATATAAACGTATCAACAAATAAATTCAATAACGTGCTGGTTACACTGTTAACACAATAAAATATACTGCTGTTTCCAGTTTAGTTTATGATGGATGTATTTTGTTATCCACACATATATTGTTTTTATATTTGAAACACCAAGCCGACAGAAAATATGGTCTTAAAATGTCCCAGTGGTATAGTTAATAAAAAATATATATCATCAAACATAATATTAAAATTAACTCTTATTTTGAAAATACAGCTTCCTGTGTTCGAATGAGCTGCTCCGACCCTCGGTCCTGACGGACTACAAAAGTCCGACATTATACAATCAAACAAATAAATAAACACAAGGATAATTGTGTCTTATTGTTGAGTAAATAACAGTGTGTGGTTTAGAAAATAATACAAAATTAGAAGGAAAAAGCGATGAAACAATACAGATTTCAGTATTCTGAGCCTCTCTACTCTCCCCCTAACTGACAGCAACAAAAGTCCGACATTATACAATTAAAATAAAGAAGTAAAAACAATAAGTTTGGCTTGATATTGAGTTAGAAAAAGGTTGATAAACGCTGTGAGAATTGATCTGCGGAGAGCATTTCGCCGCGATCCCAACTCGTCTATTACCAACGTTCAGGGAGCTCTGTTATTGTCTCATTATACCGCACTGTGAATGAATTAAAAGTAAATATATAACTCATCATGAACACATCTGTCCATCAGACAGAGTGCTGCTGTGCCTCCTGTCATCATTAATGGACGTCTCTTTCAGGGCCGGCCCTAGACTTTTGGGGGCCCTAAGCGAGCTTTGTCTTGGGGGCCCCCCTCACTCTAGCGCGTTCTCACTACACACAACAATTAACCAACTTTTGTACTATGATGTTAGCATAAGCACACATATTGTATAAATAAGCATGTACACACCGTGGACCTAACCTCCTCTAGGGGGGTTCGGGGGCATGCTCCCCCAGGAAGATTTTTTTTAAATATTGAAGTTAAAAGCATCAATCTGGTACTTTTTGAGAGCAAAATTAAGAGATCTATGGATACATCTCTCAACACCCAGATGAAACAGAACTGTAAGCAGATTTTTCTTTATGGATATTTTACAAATCACTTAAACTGTATTTTTGTTTTGTCATATAGTATTTCATACCTGTTTTTCATCTATTCTCTCTGGCTGTCCATCTCATAATGTTCACATAGAAACTAGCTGTCAATAGGAATATCATTCAGGAGAATTATAATTTCTTGCAAAAATCTGTCACAAAAAGAGGTTGCACATTTAAATTCAGGTGTTGTTATGGCAACGTCAGTGGCCAAACAGCCACATTTACTGCTGCAAATACGTTCAAACATGCTGTTGACATGTAAAGCAGTGGCAACTATGCCACCATTTCAGCTGACTTTTTCTCAGAAATACTGTCACATAACATCCATATATTCCAGTGCTAGGTTGATGCTTAGCTAAGCTAACTATGAAACACTTTAACTGACAGGACTCAGGATCAGCTGTAAGGTAGCTTCTAGCTTCATGTCGAACAGTAAGTCAACATTTCCCAGAGAGCTTTCTTTGAAATCACCAGGTAATGCTAAAAAACATTACATTTAGATTGTATGACAACGTGTTTATTTAAAGTGGACCTATCATGCTATATTTGAATAATATAGTGTAGGAACATACCTATATAAAGCATATTTATACTTTTTATTTTTCAAAATACCAAACAGATCATGCATTTTAGCCATTCCTCATTTCGCTCAATTTAACACTGTCTTTTCATGGGCTGCGATTCAAAGTAACGTCAACGTAGCTGTAATTTATGCTTTGCTTACATGATCGCATAACTTGGAAGTTTACTGACATTAACATACCTTGTTCACCTGGCTCAAGTGGTGGCTCTGGGGTTGTTGTGTGAGCCACCACTTGAGAATTGTTGTCTTTTTTAAGAATTTTTTTTCTTATGTCCATCTTCAAAAACTCTGAGTCCGACTGACAGTTTAAACATTGTCACAGCTCACAGGATAGGTACCTGTCAGCCAATAAGACAGATGTTTATTTCCATTCAACTCTCTGGTTGGTCTGGTGTCTTGCCTCTGTTGCATTCACTGAACACGGGAAATTACAATCCTGCCGTCCTCTCTTG